TACGATTACTAATAGAGGCCCATTACGAAAATGGGCACACTAGCTCAAAAGGCCTCATGCAGAAAGCTCATAATTTGATGATGTGTAAATATGTGATAAGACGTCATATTTTAATTTGGAGAACATCAGTACATATTGACTCACATAATCCTAGTTGAACGAGTAATTTGTCCACATTAGTTTGTCGATAAGCTACAATAAGAACTTGGCTATTGAGCGTCATAACAAACAGTAAAATCAGCATATTGGGGAAGGATTCGATAGCCCAATTGATGGAGGAAATCACATATGATATTTAGAATTAGAATATGACGATGCTTTTATAAGGAGAAAGAAAAATTAGTGGTAAGTATATAAGAGCATTTTATAATCATCCATATATCATCTTTTCCTTTCTATTTAAGTCTTGATTTGAGTACTAGACAGGGGGATTGTTCATCCTACACATAGATTTGATAAGTATTTTTGACAAATAATTGTGAGTTTTAGATGAAGCAAAGATTAAGTAAATATAATGGTCAATATGTATTCACTATGATCATGGAAGGGTTAGTTATAATCACTTGAGATCCATGAAATACTAATCGTTGGATTTACTTCATCTAAAGGTCATGATTATTTGTCAAAAATATTTATCAAATCCATGTGTAAGAGGAACGGTTTCCATTAGACAATATACACCAAAAACTCTTTGTGGCATAGTGATGGCAATCGGGCTCGCCGGCTCGCCGAGCCCCATTTTGGGGATACGGGCTTTGCCCGAACCGGACCGTGAGCTCGCAAGATTTAAAAAAAAAAAAAAATTCAAATGCAGCCTTAAAAGGCAGCAGATTATATAATAATAAAAAAAAGCAAAAAAGCTGGGCCATTTTAACCGGGCCGAGCCCGAGCAAAAACTTTAGGCTCGTGAGCCGACTCGGCCCGACTCATTTACATCCCTATTGTGACATACTGTTTGACTTTTTCTTTTGAGCACAAGAGTTAGCATTTAGAATCATGGGAACAAGTTAGAACACCAAGTTGTCACCCTAAAACCCTTTATCTGTATTTCATTTTGCAAGGCTTGTTCATCACTTCTCATGATAAATAAATTTATCTCCAATTAGTGACATTAATGAAAATGAATTTTGGTTTGAAAATGACTTGAATTTGATCTTCTAGACCTTAGAAACTCTAAATATTTGATAAAATCATATAGTTATATTTGTAAGACTTTCATCACCATTAATATTTATAGGGACCACCATTAATAAACCAAAGCGCCGCGTGAGATTTGATACCATAAATGGCCCAAAAAACTTGCTTAAATTTCAAAATATCTTAAATTAACCATTAAACCGGGACAACCAATCGCTAATAACTCCACTCTAATTTCATTATTACAATTGATATTTAATCCGTGTAGGTCGGAACACCTACTATTGCGGAGCTTCTCGACCACCCTTATGTATTTTTCAGTTCAACAACATACTAAAAACTCTCTCATGGACTCTTTGACTAGGTACATTTCCTAACTGTGTTTTCAACATTTATATTCGATATTTTATACATGTATATATGCATGAAAGGAAACACATGTGGTCGTGTCAAATTATTTTTATTTTTATTTTATTTCTCCAATTCTAGATTTTTAAACACCCCCCCACCCCGGGCTTCCACGACAGTTCAAAGAAGATCTTCAAGATCAAAATTCTTTCTTCTTCTTCAAGTTCCAATCTCTATTTTGGATTAATCTTGTTTACCAGGGCCACATAGGCCCCGGTAATGCCAGGGAGCCAGCTGGCCCCCCGTGATAGGTGGGGGCTATGTGGCCTTGGTAATGTAGCAGGGCGTCTATTTTTTTTTTTTTTTTTTTTTCTAGCACTAATTTGCCAAATCTCTCCACTCTCATCTCCCCCTTCATCTCCTTGACGGCGAAAGGATTTATTTTTTGGTGTTTATGTATTAAAAATATGTTAAAATTGAATGGAAAATTCAAAAGAATTTGTAGTTTTGAGTTGTATTTTTTCCTGAGTCAGGTTTATAATTGTTTTATTTTCTTGCTTTTTCTCTCTTATTTTTGTTGTTCTCTTCTGCAATCAACATTTAAAGAGAGATGCTTTCTATGTTTTCTTATTTTTGCAATTTTATGTAGATTGATGGTATCTGTGTTTTGTATTAGTTATTTTTTGAGTAATGTTTCTGTGTTTTACAAACCAGTTTAGGTGGCATTTAATGTCATTAAATAAATGATACAATTAAATAAATCACATAATTTCACCTATCTCATAATGTCACTTCTTTATTTTTTAATTCCTTCTTCATTAATTTGAAAATGCATTTGTGTAACTATGCCGCTACTCATTTATTTGGTTTGGCTATAAACTTATACTGTCATTATTAATTTATTGTAGTTCACCGATTATTCTTCTGAAGCACAATTTTTTCTTGCAAATAAGGTGTAGATGTTGATTATTATATAATGTTGGTTGGTGATTTTAATCTTGCCTGATTGGATTTCCCCCCCTTGGGGCCTACTTGGGATTTTCAATGTATTGATTATAAGCCTTTTTTAAAGAACGAATTTTAAGTATTTATGAACAGATCGATTTTTGAGTAGCTTTAGTAACCGTTTTTAAAATTGTCCAATCTATGCTTAGAAGTTTTTTGCCTACCAGTTCTAAAAGTTTAAAAAATAAAATAAAACTACATATGTCCTTTAGTAAAATTTTCAGTTTATATTTTTTTTAAATGAAAATTTATTTACTCATAAGTCATAAGTGATATTTTACTTATAAATAATTTTTTACGTATGAGTTAATATTTAACTTAAAAAATTAAATAAAGTTTGATATATACTTAAAACTTTAAGTAATATTTTTTACTAGTAAATTTTACAATTATAAGTTAATTTTATTCTTTTAAATAATTTTAAGTGGATTTTTTTATTTATAAGTAACTTTTTATATTTTATAAGTGAATATTTGTCTTAGTATTTTTGTTTTATAAATTTTTTTTTCACATAAACGTGATTTTTACTTATAAGTAATTTTTTAACTATAATGTAATTTTTCTTATATTATAAGTAATATTTTACCTATAAGTACTTTTTAAAATTATAATGCAATTTTTTTTTTGCTTATAAATATTTTTTTAGTTAATATATTTTTATTTACAAATTAGTTTTGAAGAAAATATGTTGATTGAAAATAATTATTTTATGGAGGGTAAAATTATAAAAGAATACGAGAAACGATCAAAATCTATCGATTTGGTGATTTGAGAGAATCGGTCAAAATTACACTACACCGATTTTGGATAGTTTTTGATGTCCAAAAAAGCTAGCGAACACATATTTTTTCTAATTCCTCGTAAATGGTGCCACCCAGAAATTGGTCAAAACTGGTGGCAAAAATTTAAAAAAAATAAAAATAAAAAAATCCCAGGCAGGCCCTTAGTCTGTGGTACTGTTAATGTTCTCATGAATTTGCAATTAGTTGTCAATTAAAGCCAGTTTTGAAGTAGCGCTGCATGGTTATATGAAAATGAAGAGTGCATATTCTTTCGTAATATTATTGTAATTGGCTGATCATTATGTTATTGGTAGTGTTGGAGAAATTCCTTTGTAAGTTCAAGCTGAAATCAACTTCTGGTTATGATCCCAACTTCTACAGCCACTTTTCTTTTTTGCTTATTCAGTATGTTTTCATATTGTTTTAGTTCTTTTATATCTTTGTAATTTTAGTGTTGGACTGCACTAAAATTGGTGATTTGTTGATTTTATCTTATTAGCAACTAGGATAATTCATTTTTCTTTATGATAAAATGATCATTTGATTCTTCTCTAACTTTCTGTTTGGTTCAATGATAATTTGATGGCGTATACTGAGAATGATTTATTTAATGCTATTGATGATGCTATAATTATTATATGTTTAAAAATTATGAAAACGCATAGGATACAATTTTAGTAATATATGACTTATTTTCATTAGTGTTACGTTGTTTAGAAAAAATTGCATTTTAATTTTTTATTTCACAATGAAAAATGTCTAACTCCGCCACTGTATATATGTATAGCAAACATACGTCTACAAGATACTCGGATATTAAATATACATCTTCTATACATACAATATTATACACATCTAGTACATATAAAAGATATCCAATTTTTTTTTTTTTTTTTTTTTAACATATATGTTACGTCTATGTATTTCGATGGTTGAACTCGTAATATATAAAGTTAATGTATATGTATTTTCTTGAATCCAAGTCCTTTTTATTTGTTTTAGTTTTTCAATTTTCAAAATTTGCTTTCTTCCTCTTTTTTTTTTTATTTTTTTTTGTTTTTATGGTAGAAAAGAAAGATTACTTTTCAAGTAAAGTGATGTTAGATTGATGCTTGAAATACGTAGTGTCGTACATAATTACATTTGGTTTGTCATAAATTAAACCCAATCTTCAGTTTTTCGTTCTAATTGTAAAGGTCACATGTAGATCAACTGCTTCAAAATGATAAAAAAAATAAAAAAAATAAAAAAAAATTCTTTATTTTATTTTTTTCTATGGCGAAACCAGAATAATGGTTATATTCCATTAAAATTTTCGTATTTATTGTAAAATCAATTATAGACCTACTTATCTACAATAGAATTTTAATTTGAAACTATGAAATAAACCAAGTAATGAGTTGATCCTCAATAAATTTTATGACGATGAATTAGACAAAAAGCTAGAACAAAAGTTCACACTGAAGATTGAATAAAGTTAGACAAATTTATTTAAAATTGTAGGCATAATTAGGTATTAAATAACTTTTTAACACGTCTCAAATAAGGAAGAAGCCTTAAAACTACCCCACCCCACTTCATCCCCACCCAACAAAAAACTGCAAGTGCAAGCTACGCCAAACCTAATATTTTGACACTACTCCTTATTCCATGATGTCCCACTTACAAAGTCACAAACTGAAGTGAGGCGGTTAGCCCAGTATCAATTTTAAACTTCTGAAAGCACCCTCTCATCTTCTCTATCCGACTAATATTCTACCATTAATCTGTGCCATAATTTTCTTCAAATACAAGCATTTTTATAATGAAAATCTGATAATTTCATTCTGTTTTAATGTCTTCCCAAGGCCCTGGCACAAGCTGAAGGTCTGGTTTGGATCATTTCCTTCCATGGCGGATTTAGCACAAATTCCAACAGAGATTTTTGTAAGTTTTATTCCAACCTTTTTTATATCTCTTTTGTTAAACTCAAGAAAAATCGAAGTATGATAGCAAAACCATCGCAGAGAACCTAAATTCGGCTTATGAAATTTCTCCTCTTACATGTAAAATATATGTACAATGCATATTAATGATAAAAGTTCAATTTTGTTAAGAGAAGTGATCAAAATCCTTATAAATAAGTTGATTATTTTTATGTAAACCGAAGTGGGATTTAACACTTAAAAAATTATCTTTGGTTTTCAGAAAAAGAAGAAGGTTGGTGGACAACAAAAGAAAGAGGAACTTGAAAGAGAGGTATGGACATGATTCTATACATCTTTTTGATTGAGTTCTTTGCATGGATGCTTTGATTCACTGGTACGTTGTAGTACAAGTATAGGTGATGGGGGTGCATCTACCTGGTCTAAGAAATTTTTCTCTTTCTTTTACTGTGGAGACATGTTTTCTAGTAAAATTTGAATGTAAGTATTTGTACTCGAATTATATTACTAATTTTCTTGATTTATTTGTTTTAAATTTCAATTCTATTTTGTAATAAATCAGGAAAGTACATTATTCCCCTCATTTTGTCACTTAAGACGAGCATTTTCAATTTATTTTTGTGAATTTACTATGATTTTGCTTAATACAAAAGTATGTGTATTATTCAACTATGATCAATTCTTAGCGACTACAGCAAGCGTCTATAAATTTTCCATTGGTGCTATCATCTCAATTTTTCGTTTGACAAAGAAGTGATACTAAGTCGAAAGGTAAAATTTTTTACCCAATCAAGGTTTCCGAGCTTCACAAAATGCTGGCTCATGAACAAAAGGTGCACGAATTTCTCCAAGAACTTCAAAATCGACAAGATGGTTCTTCTATCACAATCCCAAACTACCTTCCACCAAAAGTAAGTTTCATATATGCATGAATTTCTTGTATGTTCTTCTTTTTCTTTTGTTTTAGTTTCTTTACTAAATTTACTGAAAGATTGAAAGTAAGTCGACCATTAGCAACAACGATAGCTTGAAACTGTTTAATGGATACTTATATTGATAGTAATTTGATAGTCCAGCATAATCTTTGCATGTTCAAAAATAATAAATCTATAGTTTATATTCATGAGTTGCTCTTATTTTTATGTCTATGCATTACCATATTAATTATAAGAAATCTCAGATATATTGCAATCTCTCAGATATTGGTCGTGTTGCAACTGATTCAACTCAACTTTAAATCAATTCTCGAAGAAATTAACCAGGAATGTGCTCTTTAAATACATTATTAAATTTTATATGCAGATGAAAGAGCTACTGACTGAGCTAGATATGGTTGAAAATGAGATAGTGCGATTGGAAAGCCAAATCAGTCTTCTTCAGTCCGAGGTGAAAAACGAAAAGGAACTAAATTCCATGCAATGGCAGTTGCGTGAAAATCCAAAAGATAACAATGGAAACACGAGCAGACGTCGTTCCAATGAGAAAACCATGTTTGAGGCTAAGGGGCTGCATTTTATTAGCAAGGCTATAAAAGGCGATTATAATCTCAGCGAATTCAGAAAAAACGAGAAAGGGAAAAATCCGAAAGGATTATCCGATCACAAGGAAAATAATTTTAACGATGAAATTGGAATACTATGTGACAAGGTTTCGAAGAGAAGTGGGATGCTTAAACCTGCCTCGCCATTTAGAAACATAAGGCATCCAACTCCAACTCCCAGGGTACGATCACAGAATTTCGTTCAATCTAACTGTCACCTATTTATGAATATTTCAATTATTTAACTAAAAATTATAACTGACTTGCATGCTAGCAGACTACATGTTTTTCTTTTCTCTACTCTCTGATTCTAAGATTCTGACGGTTGATGCCATTTCAGAGAGACCGTAACCTTGACATCCCTGCAGATATCCTACAAAATGTCATGTCTACTCCAATTCATTCTGAAGAACAAAGCATTCACAAGTGCTCACCTAACAAGTTATCTGAGAACATCATGAAGTGTTTGATCTTTATTTTTGTAAGGCTACATCGAACATCAAGAACAATGGAATTAGAGAAATCAGGGCCGATAGCCCGTTCTATGAACTTCTCTCAAAGTTTTCGTGCGGAGACGAGCTTAAACTCGAAAACAAGCTTCATGTTTCAGAAAGACTCGAGACAGCAAGATCCCTATGGCATTTTTTATTCTGAAGAATCTATAGCAAGGGATATTGGGCCCTATAAAAACTTGGTTAGATTCACATCAAGCTCTATGGATCCCAAATGCATACAAGATTCGAGCTCAGTTCCTTTATTTCAGAAGTTAAAGTAAGGCTAACTATTAATTAATTTACTTCCATTTTTGAAATAACATATATATATGTATATATAATTTACTTATTTATTAATTTTGTGTGCTCATATATATCTGTGTATTTCTCTCTATGAATTTTGGAAATCTAGGGGTTTGATGAATACTCTTCAGAAGGTAGACTTAAGATTCTTGAGTCATGAACAGAAGCTGGCTTTCTGGATCAACATGTACAATGCTTCTGTCATGCATGTAAATGGACTTTAACAGTTTTCTTGCTACTTTTCTTTTATATATTAATTTTTACACCATTCGAGTATTGAAGTACTTAATTAAATGATTGAATGATTTTTTCTTCCAGGGGTTCCTCCAATATGGGATTCCCACCAGTGCTACACCTGGAAAACTGCTAAAGCTTATCAACAAGGTAAATTAAAATTTAATTAGAAAATCTGAAGATGATTATTTCAATTTCTTTAATTGGTTAGTGAGTAAGGTTGTTTACAGCTGGAGAACTTGAGAGTTTCCTAACTTCATAGGTGTTTAAGACACAGTTTAGAATGAATGGATAACTTGTCTCTGACCATTCACGCTTTTAGATGAGAAGATTGACTATATTATGCTCCAAACTCACTTCTTTTTTGTGTCCCATTCTTAGTAAATTATACAAGTCATGCATTTATTTCAATGAAGAGAAAAAAGTATGACATAGTTATATTTTTTATATTCATATGGTCTTGAATATAACTTGCTGCTTCATTTCAGGCAACTCTGACTATTGCTGGTAATGTAATAAATGCTCAAGCAATTGAACATTTTATCCTGAGAAAACTTGAGCCATCACTGCTTAAACAGGTACTTCGCATTGTAATAGTTAATATCTGTTGAATAGTAAACTTGATTTTTGGACTAAATAATATGAGTTTAAGGATTTTGCTTATAAGCCCAAATCAAATGAAAGGCCTAACATGCCTAATATTTTTAGAAATATTATGTAAAAAAATCTATATAAATATCTATTAGAAAAATCAACATAAATATCTAAGTAAGATATGTGGTCTTATAAAGAATATCTAGATAATTTTAGGAAAATATTTTGATATGTGATCTAGGTGTCTCTAGAAAATGTGTGGACTAGAATCTTCATGTAAACACTATATAAAGGGGTAGTGTCCTCCATTTTGTAACAAGCTAAAAAGTGTGTAAAGTCTTAAAGTTGAGAAATACAAGTTTCCTTTTTTTTTCACTTCCTTCTTCCTATTAGTGTTGTCTTCTAAAAGCCTTAGTCAATCCAAGTTAGTAAACCCTTCCTTTCCTCCAACAAACTGGTATCAGAACCCTAAGTTTCTTGTGAAAAATGGCAAGTGGGATGATTCCTTTTCAAGTTCTCCAACTCAACAAGGATAACTACGACAATTGAAGCAAAAAGATAAAAGCATTGCTCGGGTCGCAAGATGCATGGGAGATCGTAGAGAAAGGTTACACGGAGCTAGAAGACAAGATCGCTCTATCCCAAGTACAAAGGGATAGTTTGAAGGATACAAGGAAGAAGGACAAGAAGGTGCTTACCCTCATCTATCAAGCCTTAGATGAAGGCATGTTCGAGAAAGTAGCTTGTGCTACTACGAGTAAGGAAGTATGGGAGATCTTGCAAAACTCCCATAAAGGAGTTGAGAAGGTGAAAAATGTTCGACTTCAAACACTTCTAGGTGAGTTTGAAGCTTAACATATAAAAGCGGAATCAATTTTTGATTATTTCTCTAGAGTATTGGCTATTGTGAATCAATTAAAAAGGAATGGAGAAAAGTCGAACGACACTCGAGTAATTGAGAAGATACTTAGGTCTTTAGATTCTAAATTTGACTACATAGTTGTAGCCATTGAGGAATCTAAAGATCTAGACAGTATGAGTGTCGATCAACTTATGAGATCTTTACAAGCCCATGAGGAAAGACTAAGGAAGAAGGTGAAAGAAGAGCCATTAGAGCAAGCTCTTCAAACGAAGCTCACTTTGAACGAGGGTGAAGGAAGGTTGGACAGTAAAAGAAGCCAAAGAGGTAAAGGACGAGGCCAAGAGCGAGGAAGAAGTGCATTCTACAAGGAGGAAAGAAAACAAAGCTCATTTTCCACTAGAGGTCGTGGAAGAGGAAAATGTACGAGGCAAAATGAAGGGCCAAGGTATGACAAATCTCAAATTAAATATTACAATTGTCAAAAGCTTGGTCATTATGCTTCAAAATGTAGAAATATTACTAACCAAGTTAAGGAAAAAGTCAACTATGCTTGTCGGGAAAGTGAAGTGGATCCTGTACTACTGTTGGCCTACAAAGGTGAAGAGAGCAGAGAAAAGAATACTTGGTATTTGGATACAAGAGCAAGCACCCATATGTGTGGAAGAAAAAACATGTTTGTGGAGTTTGATGAATCAGTAAGCGGCAATATTACCTTTGGAGATGAATCCAAGATCTCAGTGAAAGGAAAAGGTAAAATCTTGATCCGCTTGAAAAATGGTACGCATTAATTTATCTCAAATGTCTATTATATGCCCAATATGAAAAATAACATTTTAAGTTTGGGGCAACTCTTAAAGAAGGGCTATGATATTCATTTGAAAGATCATAGTCTTTCAATGAGAGATCAAAGAGAAAATTTGATTGTCAAAGTCCCTATGACAAGAAATAGAATGTCTGCGTTAAGCATTCAAAATGATGTCGCTAAATGCTTAAAAGCTTGTTTTAAGATTCATCTTAGTTTTGGCACTTGAGATTTGAGTATCTTAATTTTGGAGGCTTAAAGTTGTTGAGTAAGAAGAAAATGGTGAAAGGTTTGCCTCCAATAAATCATGCAGATCAATTATGTGAAGGATGCTTACTTGGAAAGCATTCGAGGAAAAGTTTTTCAAAAGAAGCATCTACAAGAGCTAAGAAGCCGTTAGAACTTGTACACTCTGATATTTGTGGGTCAATTAATCCAAACTCTCTCGGTAAGAGCAATTATTTTGTTCTTTTTATTGATGATTTTAGTAGAAAGACTTGGGTCTATTTTCTCAAACAAAAATTGGAAGTTTTTGAAACTTTTAAGAAGCTTAAAGCTCTTGTTGAAAAGGAAAGCGGATATAGTATAAAAGCCTTGAGATCGGATAGAGGAGGAGAGTTCACCTCCAAAACGTTTGAGAAATATTGTGAGGAGAATGGAATTCGTTGCCCATTGATGGTTCCATACTCTCTACAACAAAATGGAGTAACCAAAAGAAAGAACAGATCCATTCTTAACATGGCCCGCTGCATGCTCAAAAGTAAGAAATTGCCCAAAGAACTTTGGGCCAAAGCTGTTAATTGCGCCGTATAACTGTCTAACCTATCGCCTTCTAGAAGTTTCTAGAAGTGTGTGGAAAAAGACACCACAAGAAGCTTGGAGTGAAAGAAAGCCCAGCATCTTTCACTTACGAGTATTTGGGAACATTGCATATGCTCATATACCGAATCAAAAGCGGTCTAAGTTAGATGACAAAAGTGAAAGGTATGTTTTTATCGATTATGACTCTCGCTCTAAAGCCTACAAGTTGTATAATTCAAACAAGGAGAAGATCATCATAAGTAGAGATGTCGAGTTTGATGAAGAAGGAGCTTGGGATTGGGGTGTTCAAGAAGAAGACTATGACTTCTTACCATTCTTTGATGAAGAAGAACAAGAGAATGGAGAGCAGCAACAGATTATCAGTCCACCTCTATCACCTACTCATGTAGATGCTTCTCCATCATCTTCACAAGGAGAAAATTCAAGCGAAAGGACACCATGGATGAGGAGTCTACAAAAGCTATATGAGGTAACAGAAAATCAAAATGATCTCACACTTTTTTGTCTTTTTGCCGATTCTGAAGCAATAGGATATGAAGAAGCGGCGCAAAATAAAAGATGGAGAGATGTCATGGATGAAGAGATTAAGGCTATTGAGAAAAATGACACATGGGAGCTGACAACTCTTCCCAAAGGAAAGAGAGCAATCGGAGTTTAGTGGGTGTACAAGGCAAAGAAGAACACTAAAGGAGACGTAGAAAGATACAAAGTAAGATTGGTTGCTAAATGCTACAACCAACGGTCGGGAATCGATTATGAAGAGATATTTGCTCCTATTGCTAGTTTAGAAACCATAAGATTAATTATCTCCTTTGCAGCGCAAAATAAGTGGAAGATATTTCAAATGGATGTGAAATCGGCTTTTTTGAATGATTATCTCGAAGAAGAAATTTATGTGGAGCAACCAATGGGCTATAAAGTAAAAGGACGTGAAGGTAAAATCTTGAAACTAAAAAAGACTTTATATTGGTTAAAACATGCTCCAAAGGCATGGAATAGTAAAATGACTTCACAAAATGTTCTTACGAGTATACCCTTTATACAACGGTAAATGAGAAAGGAGATATTTTGCTTCTTTGTTTGTATGTAGATGATCTTATATTCACAGGAAATAATCAAAGTATGATCATTGAATTTAAGAAAGTCATGGCTCAAGAATTCGAGATGACGGATATCGGCCTTATGGTCTACTATCTTGGGATTGAGGTAAAGCAAATGGAGGGTTGTATCTTTATCTCACAAGAAGGATATGCGAAAGAAATTCTAAAGAAATTCAATATGAAGAATTGCAAGCCTGTATGTATCCCTGTCGAATGCGGAATTAAGTTGTCGAAGAATGATGAAGGTGAAAAAATGAATCCAACACTTTTTAAGAATCTTGTTGGAAGTCTAAGATACTTGACGTGCACAAGATCAGTTATCCTTTTTGGAGTTGGACTCATCAGTCGTTATATGGAGACACCTACCATGACCCATATGAAAACTGCAAAGATAATTCTTCACTACATCAAAGGTACGCTTGATTATGACTTAGTCTATTCATCATCTAATGAATTCAAACTTGTTGGATATAATGACAGCGATTGGGGTAGAGATAGTGATGATAGAAAGAGTACGACTGGATATGTGTTTTACTTGGACGACACAGCTTTCACTTGGAGCTCAAAGAAGCAATCGATCGTAGCACTATCTACCTGTAAAGCCGAATATGTTGCAGTTATATCAAGTGTCTACCATGCGATTTGACTTAGAAACTTGTTGAAGACGCTTGGAGTTTTACAAGAAGAACCAACCAAAATCCATGTTGATAACAAATCGGTATTAACATTGGCAAAGAACCTAGTATTCCATGACAGAAGCAATCACATTAATATAAGATATCATTTCATAAGAGAAAGTATTGCAAAGAAAGAAGTGCAGCTGAATATGTAACCTCTCAGGAGCAGATCGCCGACATTCTCATTAAACCACTTAAGCATGATTTGTTCCATAAGTTAAGAACTCTACTTGGAGTAGCAAAATCAAGTTTAAGGGGGGATGTTGAATAGTAAACTTGATTTTTGGACTAAATGATATGGGCTTAAGAATTTTGCTTATAGGCCCAAATCAATTAAAAGGCCCAACATGCCTAACATTTTTAGAAACATTATCTAAAAAAATCTATATAAATATCTACTATAAAAATTTATATAAATATCTAAGTAAGATATGTTGTCTTATAAAGAATATCCAGAGAATTCTAAGAAAATATCTTAATGTGTGGTCTAGGTGTCTCTAGAAAATGTGTGGACTAGAATTTTCATGTAAACACTATATAAAGGGGTAGTGTCCTCCATTTTGTAACAAGTCAAAAAGTGTGTAAAGTCTTGAAATTGAGAAATACAAGTTTCCTTTTTTTTTTTTCACTTCATTCTTCCTATTACTGTTGTCCTCTTAAAAGCCTCAGCTAATTCAAGTTAGTAAACCCTTCCTTTCCTCCAACAATATTTTGAATTTCAGTGAACAAAATATTTATGGAAAGTCATTTATTTTAATATATAGAGAATTATTTTATTTAAAAAAAAAAAAGGCGGCAAAAGTTTACTCTTACTGGATATTTTTTCCCCTATAAAGCCCTATATCGAAATGGAGTCTAACACCATAATTTGCATTTAGATTACTGGGAAGGGAGAAAAAGATATCAAAGAAGCTATAGTTGGTGAGCTTTATGGACTTCAGTCACCAGATCCAAATGTCATCTTTGCCTTGTGCTGCGGAACACGTTCTTCACCAGCAGTGAGTCTCAACCATTTCGACAAGAAAATTACACAATGTAGTGCATGTTTATTGTGCAGTATTGAACATGACTATTGATGCACAATATTTTACTATTTTTCTTCTTGAAGACCAAGCTGTACTAACCTCTAGTTAATAATTTGTTGGATACTAATTTGGACTTAAAATTTATGTGTCATGTTTATATCCCAAATATATGTGTGTGTATTGTATTGTTGAATGCAATACAATAGTGGTTTTATTGTTAAGACTCTCTATACAGTAGTAAGTATTAAAGAATAAAAATGTTGAAGTTTTGACAATTATACTATATCGTGTCTGGTCCTAGGTAATAAACACAACAATACTCCAAAAATTTCTTTCTAATAATTGAGATCTTGAGAGCTAGCTGATTTTATGTATTTGTTTCATGGCTAGGTAAAAATATATACAGCAGAGGGTGTCATAGGTGAATTGGAAAGATCAAAGCTGGAGTACCTGCAAGCTTCAATAATGGTGACAAGCAAAAAAAGAATAGCACTTCCTGAGCTTCTACTTGGGAACATGCTGGATTTCGCCAGAGATGTCGACTCGTTGATGGAATGGGTGTGCGAGCAGCTACCTACATCTGGATCTTTGAGGAAATCGATTATGGATTGTTTTCGGGGACTTCGTGGTGGAAAAGCATCTTCCATTGTTGAGAAGATACCTTATGAATATGAGTTCCAATACTTGTTGACCATGTCAAGTTAAGACTACAATTTTGTTGCAACATTTATATAGCATAAGTGTCCAAGGGGAAAAAATAGTGATTTGCCATGTAGGCATAGACTGATCATATAATCATGATGACGATCATGAATTGCATTCAAAAACAACTATCTTATGAAGAAATCTTGTGAACATAAAGAGGTAAATTCAGAAGCAAATGAAAGAAAAAAAAAAAGGTATTAAAACAGGAGGGTATGATTTTCTTATGAGTAATTAATTTGTGATGTGTTAGAATATTTTATGTGTACTGCTAAATTTGAGAGTGGCCCAAATTCATTGTTAAAGATAATTGAGAGTTATTAAAGCATACATTAAGAGGAATTCTATTTGGAATGTTTTTGGAATCCTATTAGAATTCTATTTGACAAATTCTAGTTAAAGTTTTATTTAGAAGCACTATTGGGAGTTGAAATTTGTGTTAGATTTGAAGAGATCGAGATAAGGAAACTTTTGAGTATTCTATTTTATCTAGGGTTTGAATTATGTCTTATATATAGTTGGCTCTTCATTATGATTTGTAAGAAGTTAGAAAGATTGTAAAAACATAATCTTTGTATTCATTCTCCATATTATAATAAAATTCCATTCTGTACAACATTACATTTTTCTTGTGTTTGTGTGATCAATTACTACATATTGTGGTTATAATCTCTTAATTTCTCCAACAAAGTGGCATTGGATTAATCCGGTGTCATCTTCGCTTTCACAACAAACTGGTGTCAGGGCTTTTGGTTTTGGAATTCTTGGGAAGAACGAGGTTTTTCGCGATGACAACTATGAAGTATGATATTTTGCTATTAGAACACGATACAAGATTTTCGTTGTTGTAGGTAAAGATGCAAATTGTACTCGCTCAGATGAATTTGGACGTTGCGTTGTTGGGATTTAAGAAGATGCCCACAACTTGGAACATGGAGGAGAAACGACGGAGAAGCCCTATCTTCATATTTCAAATAATATTTTAAGAACGTTTTGAAGGAAAAGTCAGTCACTGCATTATATTTAAAATTGGAACAATTATGCATAATGAAAAGTCTTACTAGCAAATTGCATCTGAAGCAACGTCTATATTCTTATTGTATGACTGAAAGTACATCTCTTGAAGATCACCTAATTGCTTTTAAAGAAATCATCGCTAATTTGGAAACCTTGAGATCAAATATGATGAAGAATACTTGTGATGGATTTTATTGAGTTCATTGCCTGTCTCATACATGTCTTTTAGAGACGATGCTATATAGTTGTGATGCCTTCACTCTCGAATAAGTCTACAAGCTCCATATTCCAAAGAAAAGATGAAGCATCTTGTAGCATTTGGGGATCATGGAGAGGGTCGCATTGTTTGTGGTGGTCGTTCAAGGAGCAAGACAAAATCTAACTTCAAATTTTGTAACTATTGCAAGAAAAATGGGCACTTGGTAAGCAATTGTTATAAGTTGCAGAATAAATCAAAGTCAAATGCACATTAATAATCGAAACTTCAAGAGAAACAAGTATTGTAGAAAATCCTAACAGTAATGAAAGCTTTTACTTATGTCTGACTATAACTTCAAACCTGATGAGGTTTGAATTTTTTATATAACTTGCACTTTTTATATGTCACCCATCGGGAATTGTTTTCAATCCTTCCTTATTTTAAAAGAGAGAATGTGAGGTTTACTGTTTATTTTTGTCACATAGGTTTTCACACGAAACTGATTTGAAATCGATTTGGCAATAGTAAATTATTCTATTCAATGATGCTGTAGCATTATTTTCACACACCATTTCAGCATTGTCACACGTCGTTTCACTGTGATGTCACCTCCACTACAATATTTCTCCATTTTCACACATTTCTTCACTTGACTAAAGACAATACCATATATTATATAATAAATAAACAAAATTAAATATAAAGATTATTTTTAAAAAAATTACAAATAAAAATAGAAAAAAATTATCATAAAGTTTTTCAATTAAATTAAAACGATTTAAAGAGAAATAAATATTAATTAATTCAAATTTAACGAATACCTTTATATCATAAGGAATGTATAAAGATTATTTCATTAAACCAAATTAAACAAATAAAATAAAGTTACAAAAATTAAATAAATAATACATAAATATTATTTAATTAATTAAAATTGAAAAAAAAATCTCTCCGTGTACGGAGAGAATCTCTACTTCCAAAAGGAGAGCTCCTTTTGACTTTTCAAAAGGAGAGAACATTCATTTTGCATGGAGTGTTACACTCCATGGAGTGATTCCATTCCGTGCAAGGAGTGGTGATAATTTTTTAAAAATTTTTATTTATAGCAATTTTTTATTAATAAATATTTCATTTTAAAAAAATCCCTCCATATCTTAAAAGAGAGAATGTGAGGTTTATTGTTTATTTTATTAGCAATAATATTTTTTTACATAAAAATTATTTTTTATTTCTAAAATGTAAAAAGTTGCTTATAAGTAAAAGATCACTTCAAATTATTTAAAAGTAAAAAGAACTTATAATTGCAAAAGTTACTTATAAGTAAAAAAATATTAATTTCAATTTTTTTAAGTATGAATGTTTAGATATATTAAGTTTTTAAAATTAAATATTAATAGAAAGATTGCCCAGAATGTAAAAAGTTACTTATAAGTAAAAAAAATCACTTCAAGTTATTTAAAAGTAATGAAAAAACTTATAATTGTAAAAGCTACTTATAGGTAAAAAAAAATATTAATTTCAACATTTTTAATTAAATATTTAGATATATGTAATTTTTTAAAATTAAATATTAATAAAAAATTTACTACAAATAAAAGTTAAAAAAATAAAAGAAAAGAAAAAAAAATAAATATGTGCATTGCTCCGTGCACGGTGCAATGCTAGCTCCGTGCACGGAGCATGCTCAAAGGTTACTTATGTATTTTTTTTATTTTTTTTATACTTATGTTTTTATTTTCATTTTCGAACTCATTATGGGATATCAAATGAAGTCGAAATATTATATTCTTGATATCATTTTGAAATACTCACGGCATAGTATTACACGTCGTTAACGGTGCGCGAAACGGCCAATAGTAGCAAATGTTATGAGGTGTCAAAATAAGCATTTTCAAACTATTATTTCGAGAATTTCGATAACAAGGTAATTTTAAAATTTATCGACGATTGTACGGTAATCGAATTAATAAATCTTCTATGTTCCCTCGAAACTCATTTCGAGAACTATATCATAAATACATCGAATGATTCAAATGAATATCGAAAATAGTTAAACGTACATCAAACATGTGTGTTAAAAAATGCGCATCGTCTTTTTCTTAAAAAATCAATTATTTTATAAATATTTATTATTTTTTTCTCAACAATTTTCTCAAAAAATTACTTCAAATTACTTAAAAGTAAAAAAACTTATAATTATAAAAACTACTTACAAGTAAAAAATATTAAATTAAATTTTTAAATAGATATGTAGATATATTTAATTTTTAAAATTAAATATTAATAAAAATATTACACTATCTAAAATGTAAAAAGTTACTTATAAGTAAAAAAATCACTCCAAGTTATTTAAAAGTAATTGAAAATTTTATAATTATAAAATTTTCAATTACTTTTAAATAACTTGAAGTGACTTTTTTACTTATAAGTAACTTTTTACATTTTAGATAGTGTAATCTTTTTATTAATGTGCATTGCTCCGTGCACGGTGCAATGCTAGCTCCGTGCACGGAGCTAGCATTGCACCGTGCACGGAGCAATGCACATTAATAAAAAGATTACACTATCTAAAATGTAAAAAGTTACTTATAAGTAAAAAAATCACTCCAAGTTATTTAAAAGTAATTGAAAATTTTATAATTATAAAATTTTCAATTACTTTTAAATAACTTGAAGTGACTTTTTTACTTATAAGTAACTTTTTACATTTTAGATAGTGTAATCTTTTTATTAATGTGCATTGCTCCGTGCACGGTGCAATGCTAGCTCCGTGCACGGAGCTAGCATTGCACCGTGCACGGAGCAATGCACATTAATAAAAAGATTACACTATCTAAAATGTAAAAAGTTACTTATAAGTAAAAAAATCACTCCAAGTTATTTAAAAGTAATTGAAAATTTTATAATTATAAAATTTTCAATTACTTTTAAATAACTTGAAGTGACTTTTTTACTTATAAGTAACTTTTTACATTTTAGATAGTGTAATCTTTTTATTAATGTGCATTGCTCCGTGCACGGTGCAATGCTAGCTCCGTGCACGGAGCTAGCATTGCACCGTGCACGGAGCAATGCACATTAATAAAAAGATTACACTATCTAAAATGTAAAAAGTTACTTATAAGTAAAAAAATCACTCCAAGTTATTTAAAAGTAATTGAAAATTTTATAATTATAAAATTTTCAATTACTTTTAAATAACTTGAAGTGACTTTTTTACTTATAAGTAACTTTTTACATTTTAGATAGTGTAATCTTTTTATTAATGTGCATTGCTCCGTGCACGGTGCAATGCTAGCTCCGTGCACGGAGCTAGCATTGCACCGTGCACGGAGCAATGCACATTAATAAAAAGATTACACTATCTAAAATGTAAAAAGTTACTTATAAGTAAAAAAATCACTCCAAGTTATTTAAAAGTAATTGAAAATTTTATAATTATAAAATTTTCAATTACTTTTAAATAACTTGAAGTGACTTTTTTACTTATAAGTAACTTTTTACATTTTAGATAGTGTAATCTTTTTATTAATGTGCATTGCTCCGTGCACGGTGCAATGCTAGCTCCGTGCACGGAGCTAGCATTGCACCGTGCACGGAGCAATGCACATTAATAAAAAGATTACACTATCTAAAATGTAAAAAGTTACTTATAAGTAAAAAAATCACTCCAAGTTATTTAAAAGTAATTGAAAATTTTATAATTATAAAATTTTCAATTACTTTTAAATAACTTGAAGTGACTTTTTTACTTATAAGTAACTTTTTACATTTTAGATAGTGTAATCTTTTTATTAATGTGCATTGCTCCGTGCACGGTGCAATGCTAGCTCCGTGCACGGAGCTAGCATTGCACCGTGCACGGAGCAATGCACATTAATAAAAAGATTACACTATCTAAAATGTAAAAAGTTACTTATAAGTAAAAAAATCACTCCAAGTTATTTAAAAGTAATTGAAAATTTTATAATTATAAAATTTTCAATTACTTTTAAATAACTTGAAGTGACTTTTTTACTTATAAGTAACTTTTTACATTTTAGATAGTGTAATCTTTTTATTAATGTGCATTGCTCCGTGCACGGTGCAATGCTAGCTCCGTGCACGGAGCTAGCATTGCACCGTGCACGGAGCAATGCACATTAATAAAAAGATTACACTATCTAAAATGTAAAAAGTTACTTATAAGTAAAAAAATCACTCCAAGTTATTTAAAAGTAATTGAAAATTTTATAATTATAAAATTTTCAATTACTTTTAAATAACTTGAAGTGACTTTTTTACTTATAAGTAACTTTTTACATTTTAGATAGTGTAATATTTTTATTAATATTTAATTTA